TTTATTCTTCCTTGGATGATTCGAGCACAGGCACATCAAATATTGCACAGTTTGGAAACGACGCGGCTTTCGCAGCGAAAAATAGCTGTGAAATTGGAAATCGCAACAAGATTGCAACACGAATCTCACTAAAGATTCAGACTCCTGTGAATGGGCCTTAAGGTGCCTGGTTGTCGCTATCGACTCATGCAACTGCGTACATTCGAGGGTGGCTATAATCAGAGAAAGCCAGAAGGATACTTCTTAAGTATTACCTACAGTGATGGATTTTGTCAAGAGAGTTTAAAGACTGAAGAGAACGGGATCTCAGTCAGATCTGATTTCCCCGTAACATGTGTTAAATGGTACAAGAACGGCTGCTAAGTAGTTCGGGCTTTTCATTATTAAAAATTGGACTTGATCAAATTACGAATATGCAGGCACCACGGACCCATGTGCTGGGTGAGCTATACCCCCACGAAAAATTTGGCCGGGAATCGCGCAAGCCAGAACCATGAATCCAAAATATGCTCGGCAGTATCTGACCTGTGCCAGTCAGGTAACATGGACTGTAACTTTTTGTGGGTAAAATGTTTGTCTTGGAGATTCACTTACCTGTCTATTCTTCTGTCTACTTCAGCGGCGGACACTTTTGGTTATGGAAATAGCCTTTATCTCCAACACTGAAGAAATGACTATCAAAATAATACAAAACAAAGCCATTTTTCCCTTCATCTTGACGCTTTGAGCTTAAGGATGTAGTGAATCTATTTCGCCCGAATTGCTTCTCTTTTTAAACTGCAGTTTTACTACCTGTCATCATCAGCTCCGTAATTCGCAAACATTCATTAATTTTATGAATAGTTGAAAACCAACCAATTAGAGTTAAGTTAGTCCCTTAAACAGTTGTTATCTATTTATATAAACCTTCTCTCTATCAGCTGCCAAGCAGATGGAAGGTGAACACGGAAAAATCGATATGATTTGTCCCAGTTTAGTCACTGCCTTTAAACCTGGGAAAAGAAGTCCTGGGCTGTCTCAAATGATATCAATGAAAAAAACATATATACTTTTGTCCTCTTTTTTTTGTCATCTGATATTAACACTTATAGCTCAGGGCATGATCATGAAACTCCAAACGTTAATTATTTGCTCAGTAGCATCATTATTTGCGGCCGACACCATTTTTTTCATCTTTTTTAATTTGTCTAAAACACGCTATACATTATTGCCGGGAATTAAGATAACCAATAAGTTGTTATGTTGCAATCAAGCAACCTTACTGGTATAGTAGCTTTCAGTTGACTAGCAAATTGCTTTTCATGCATATTAGTACGTAATAATTAAGAAATTTTGAATTCGTCCCGTTTAAAACGAACTTCATACAGCTGTCAATACAATAGTGAAAGCATAAATTATTTGTGCTTGAACTTTTTTAAAAAACACACTGATATTGAACTTTGTTTAAAAAAACACACACTTACACACACGCGCATATATCGGAAGACATTTATTTTTCCAGAAGGAGACGAGAAAGAATTTAAAAAAAAAAAATCTATTGCTCCTTCAAAGGTCTCCAGTGATTCGAGTTTCTCTATATTTTCCTTCGTATAACGGCAGGGGTATTGTTTTAAGGAAGATCCAGCAAATTGAAGTTTAAATATGTAAAGTAATCTCTCACTTGCCTGATTTAGGACTTCAGTTTTCCTTTTCTATACTTTACTAGCTTATAAGATTGTCAACGAAAGCCTTATTGAAGATCCTTAAGGGCTTTACCCATTTAAAGAAGGTTTTATCATCTGTAGTTCGAAATTTAAAAGCCAAACAAACTTTGGATTTTTGCAAAAGATTTTTTGTTGTTTCTCCCATAAAGACGTTGAGTTTGCTGTCTTATATCAAATATCTGCGTTGAAAGTATGTGACTTAAAGTCCGTCGGTTTCATGTTTTTGTCCAGAACCCATCGGCAGTACCGACGTAAGGTTTCCATTCGACGTTTCTTAATCGCTTAACCCATTTAATTCAAAGAAGATTTTCATCTATCACGAAAGCAACAATAAACTTTTGGTCATATTCGAAAAGATTTCTTGTTGGTTCTCCCATATAAAGATGTTGAGTTGCTTAAATAACTGATTCATATCGTAGTTCTGCTCTGAAAGTATGTGACTTTTTTTTGTCCAGAAACTCTTCTCTTCTCGCCTGGCAGTTTTATTCTTCCTTGGACGATTCGAGGACAGGGCACATCAAATATTGCAAAGTTTGGAAACGACGCGGCTTTCGCAGCGACAAATAGCTGTGAAATTGGAAATCGCAACAAGATTGCAACACGACTCACACTAAGGATTCAGACTCCTGTGAATGGGCCTTAAAGTGCCTGGTTGTCGCAAAAACTAATATTTTTGCTTTTTTCTGATATCCTGGTAAATGAGTTAACGCTACTTGTTTAACTAATGGCACAAGAAAAAGAATGTCGTGACTTTGAGGAAGAAACGATTGTGGAGACTGATGGAAAAAGCGAAACCAAATCGCAACATGTGCAAGTTACGCAACCAAGCAAGGATTTAAACAGATACCTGGTGGACAAATTCCATCTCCCGACTACGAAATCAAAGAATGCACCTTTTGAAACGATCGATCTTTCAATATACAGGCCCTCTGCAAAATGTCTTGCATTTTCAACATCAGAAGATCGCCTTCTACTATGGATCACAGCGTTCCAATACCGCTATCACGAGCTTACCGGAAATGCTGCAGAATATAAGGTGACATGGGAAGAACAAGACAGCCCTAGTTCAGCTTCGAAGTGCGACAAAATCATTATTCATTTAATCAGACTAACATCCACCGGTGAAGAACAACTAGTCACTATCACAGTCTATCTAACGACGGGGAGGATTCAAGTACACGGGAAAAAATTTGAAGAGTGGAGCGAATTTGAATTTCCCGTACTCCTAAATATCGTCAAGACATTGAATGATCAACAGCCCCGCCCCACCCAGTTCGACAATTCATCCCTATTTGGATCTTCGCTCCACAAATTTTTTACCAATCTCATTCAGTTTGTCGGAGATGACGATATTCCTTCATCAAACACAGAGAAAAAGAACAGTTATGACCAACCCACTGAAATGGTAACAGCTCCCACGGAAGATCTAACAGTTTCACCGACCCGCTTAAAAACAATTGCGTCGATGAGAGACTCTCTTGGTCAATTAGAAGCAGAATTCACACAATTCCAAATCATTACTTCTGGGGACCTCGATAATATTAAGGACAAAATAGCCAAGCAAGATAACCTAATCAAATTACAAAAACAAGCCTTTGATGATCTACACGCTGATCTTTCATCCCAAATTAACTCACTCCAAGAATTGATTACACACCAATCACAAGTTATTAACGCATTACAGAACGAAAATCAATCTCTTCACAAAAAGCAAATGCAAATCACAAAGTCAAATCAAGCACTACAAGAATCAGAAAGTAAACTCACAGCGGAAATTACTTTTCTGAAAGAACAAGTGACAGCTTTCTGGCAGAACTCCACTGATGACAATCATATGGCAAACTCAAACGCTATCCAGCAGCCTGAAACATTTACATCATCTGAAGATATTACACCAGGCATCACCGTAGAAAACAGATCCGAAACTCCTAAACCTCAGTCGAAGGAAATAGTTACTGCACCTAATATCATCACTCCGAATATTCCCACAAAGAACATGTTTCTACCCCTTCAAAACTCAATGAACGAATCTGATACTCTACCAACTCGAGAGGATATTGATCAAAACCCAAAGATTAATTCACTTAAACCGCGCGACAACAACGTTCTTCCAGTTAAAACACCTTCTGCTGTGGTCAACAAAGCTATCTTTCTGTGCGATTCTAATGGAAAGTTTCTAGACAAAAGAAAGCTTTTCCCTCCAGGACAGGAGTTTACTTTTTATAGATCTCCCACAATTACCCATGTGCGCACAGTTTTACAGGATGAAATTAATCAAGAATTAGAACACCCGCAACTCATATTGATCCACAGCGGCACAAATAACCTCACGCCAACCACACCAATTGATGACTTCATTTCTGATATTTCCGTTTTGATTACCCAAGCATCCACAATGTTCCCGAAAAGTAAAATCATTTATTCTACTCTCCTACCACGAGCTGATATTCCCCTGCAAACTCTGTTGAAAATAAACATGAAACTTATCGACAGTCTTTCCACACTACCAAACGTTCATCTGGTGTCTCACGAAAATATCTTTTCTAAAGGAACAGATATACTGCATGACATTAAACATCTAAAGAAGAGACACCTTGGTTTGTTTGCCGCAAATCTTGTAGCAGCAGTACGTGGCCGAGCTACAACGAAAACAGTTCGTTCTTCCCCGAATCTAGTACATCGCCCTCCGCCCCCAACCTCGCGCCCGCTCTACACAACGCCTATGGAAGTCCCTGGTTTTCTCACTCATACGGTTAAAAACAGCCAGACTGGAGCGTTCCCTACTCCGAGGACACAACAGCCTCCACCATTATACTCGTCTTACGTAAGTTCCTCTGAAGGCTACTCCTCTTACAGTGATGCTGTCAAACATGGTCACACTTCACGAGACCCACTACCTAGTAATATACAGAACAGTCCGCTTCCAACAACAATCAACTCTCCTGCTTCCCCTCA